AGTTTTCCGATTTACGCCATTGTTTTGTCGTAGGCACCACCGCAGACTTAACTGGCTGCAGTCAAAATTATTCGAGGAAATTAGCGGCCTTCACAACGCTCCCGGACAATAGAGTAAAACATAGACTACCATGTAGCTTAGTTGATGCGCTTGCAGCTAAACATCAAAGGGAAAAAAGGGATTGAAATGCTATTATTTTCAACGTCAGGCCGCCAACGTTTTGTAGTTTTAGCTGCCGTTTCTTTGAAAACCAGGGATTTTTAGGCAATAGTATATAAATTCTCTCTTAAACAGTTGTCCTCCTTAAAATAGGCAGTGTAAGATCTCGACGCGAATCCTCCCTTGCCGTCTCCTACATAAGGCTGCCTTCTCAGCGGTAGTTACAGAATTACAGACGGATTCTGGATATCCCGAAGAATGATTCTAAGCAAGCCCTATTTAAGGTTGCCACATACGGTCGTATTCAAATGCCTAGATTCTGGATAGAGGACAGGCGAGATCCTAGCGTGTGGGCCTACCTGTTACAGCTGTTACGTCAGAATTTTCACTTCTCTTACTATGCGTTGGAGCTGCGTGCCAGTTCGGACGTCTTTTCCGACAATGCCTATCGAGTGTCTCACGGCGGGACGGGCGCAGGGACGGTGACTGGCGTGCAAATTAGTTTGTGGCGATAGTAGACTTGTGCCGCATAAGCCACACTTTCCATTTCACCCACCTCGGTTCGGTGTCAAGAGAGTCAAAAAGAGCGGAGACGGGAGAGAGCATGGGCGGCCGGCGCGGCGTGAACCCGCTCCCAGACGTGCCGTCACACCCTTTGACTCACGCGCAGATAATCAGGGTTTGGCACAACAAGGGAGTGGAGGACTCGGATTCCAATTGAGTGAAAGGGCCAGAAGTGCCAAATTAGGGAAGAACCATTGCAGTCTGACTGTCAGTCCACCAGTCGGCCACTGCACACAAATACACACAGGGCAGACTGTGGGGGCTGAGTTGAATTATCAGTTGACAACCTTCCCAACCATGGATTTTAGCACACTGTGATAGTCTCGAACGCGTCAGATTGTTTATAGTGAGTGAGATTCGATCTCACTTTCTCCCCTTTCCCATGCACCAATCGATTATCCGGGCCGGTCAACCAACTGATACTGAGATTGGGAGAGGTGACTGCTAGGGCTAGAAACAACCCGTCTGACCGTGCTGCGCACACGGCCTATCCTCCCTCACCCCCCCCCCCCCAAGCACGCACCAGGATTTCACACGAAGGGGGTAGACTGCTGGGATCTCACATATAACGGAAGGGCAACATGGAGAAGGGGCCGGAGAGCACAATTTCCACTTACCAAAGAGGTCCCTAGTTCGTGCTCGCGGTGTGCAATGTCGGTCGTTTGCATGTGTTGATGGAGAAATGTGTGGTTTGGTCTGCGTTCGTTTAACGCAGATTGTCACGGAGACGTCTGTGACTTAGTAGGCCCATGCGATGGCTGAATGTGTGAGGGCGATGCGGACAGTGGAGGCGATGACGACGAGCGAATGTTGGTGCTCCAGGTAGCGGTTCAGCAGTCTCTGTGTGATGGATTCACAAATGAACATCAGGCTGATGTGTGATGTGCATATGCGGTGGTAGTGCTGGCAGGATAGGTTGGGAGATGCCAAGCTGGTTGCGGTTATGGTGCTGCTATTGGTGACTGTGCCGGCGAATGGAAAGTTGACTGGGCTGGGGATAGGCGCGTTGGTGGGTATTGAAGATGTGATATGTGCGTCGATATTGTGGTGGATTCCGCTGTTGTGGATTCTCAAGTTCGCTGACGCGTGAAGTGAATGTGCGATAGCAATGAGGACAGTCTGGGACTGAGTCCGCATCGCTGTAGGTTGGGGTGGTGGTGGCGGCGGCGGCGGTGGTGGTGGTGGCTGACGGCGCGTCAAGTGTTTTAAACAGTGTCGGGGGTGAGAGCTATGGTGGATGTGGTCTTCGTCCTTGTCGTAACGGAGGTTTTTGCAGAGATGATGAGGGCGGCGGTGGTCGACGGAGGCGGCAAGGTATCAGGAGTGGGACCACCGTTGGTGAGGGTGGTCGTCGTCGTGGATGCCATGAGTGTGACGCAGTGGTAACGATAGGGAGACGCTGACGGAGGTAGCAGGTGGGGTTGTTGGGTTGTTGTTAAACCGTGTCCGCAGATGCTCGACGAAGCTGACCCCCGCGCTAAATGTTCTTTGGCAGCGCGGATGTGTTGGAAGTGGGTGGGTGTTGGCGTTGGGGATCGGAGAAGTCCGAGACCTACGAGCTACTCTGTTGGCTTCAGCAACGGCGATCCGGTTGGCTTCATCGATTGCCGCACCAGCCGTCACTTCTTTTCTCCAGGCCAGTCGCTACTGGGCGAGGTCCACTCAGGTCTCTTAGTTGCCAGCAATAAAAGAGAAGCTATGTAATGGACAAACTTCGTAATCTCAGACTTCAGACAAGAAAGGGGAGATGCAGGAGAAATTGAGGAAATTTAAAGTGCGGCAAGTGACGGCCTGGCGAAGCCGTGCATCTCCATCAGCCGTTCAGCCGTCTAAGTAAGTTCGGCGGCCGAAAGAATGCCAGAAGCAGGCGTTAAAATATGCTGCATGGCCCGGGGAATGTTGTTCATTGTCGATGCCTAACTATTACGCAGATTGGAAGGAAAATGACTAGTGTTTGGAAGGGGTCACCAATTGTCGAAGGTGCGATTGTCCCAAACACAGAAATTCCCGAATCACAAGTCAGGGAAGACAGAGTAACGAAACAAGGATCATTAAGGCAAAATAGAAAACAGGCAGCTCAGCAAGCAGCTGCAGCCAGCCGTATTTCCAGGCGTGCGTATGAGTGTCCGCCCTCAGGATTCTTAACCACTCTGCCATGTCGCCTGCAGTCGATCAGCGGATGACGCGGCCTCGATTGGCTTCGAGATCTCGTGGCCTCAGCTGCGAATTGACTGACAGCATGAGGCGGACAGAAAGGCGGTATGACAAGTAGCCGCGCCGGCAACAATGAGGTCGGACCGCCACAAAGACACACGTGCAGACCATTCCCATCTTGCTTAGCCCGTCAGTCAAGGGCAGTTACCTGAATGTGGTCGCCGTGCTGACCATAAGTTCGCAGAGCCACAGCTGACAGTCGGGTTTCGGGACTGAAACATGTAGAAGCATCCAGCAGGTCCGCCGATACGTTTGGCAAAGGTCGTTAATGTATTTCTCTGGATAACTTGCTACTAGTGACCGTATCTGCGCTGACAGACCAGACGGTGCCGCCTATGGCATATCTTCGTGTGAGGCAATTACCAGTGGTGTATCTGCGACGACATATCATCGTCTCCGTGATGTTATTCCACGTTCATCAGGTTACACCGAGGAATCTGGAGTGACCGTAGGACTGCAACATGTATTCCCGCCCACAACAGCCCGTAAACCCCAGATGGAATTAATTCCAACATGACGGTAAGTAAACGTTGGACAAAAGCATCCCCTACTGAAAATTGCCATCGATCTTGTGAGGATAGACAACGTGCGATCCCTCAAGCGACTCTTCTATAGGTGCTCGCTGACAGAGTGGACAAACACATCGCTGCAAGAGTATCCTAAAAGGCTCTCTGAAGCACTTGCGAAAGAAAGAAGTTGACAAAGAACTCCCGTTTTTAGATGTTCTCATACAGCGGAATGCTGATGGAACATTGCGCACATCGGTGTACCGCAAAGAAACCTATGCGGAGGTCATTCTGCACTATGAGAGCAACCACCCTATTTCCCACAAACGGAGTACGATCAACAGTCTGCTTAGTCGAGCGAAAACCCACTGCTCGGACGAAGAAGGCTACCGAGCCGAACTAAATTACTTGCATGAATTATTTTCTCGGAATGTGTACGCCAAGGATTTTGTACGTCGATGCATGAGACAGAAAGAGTCAAAGGAAACGGAATCAAGTACTTCCAACCAGGCACCGAAGCCAAACACCTGGCGAACTCTCCCTTACATTAAAAACGTGCCTGAACTCCTTGAAGGGTACCTAAGGAAACACCAAATCCTAGTGTCAGACAGATCAACGACTACCTTACGCACTCAGATAGTACACCCTAAGGCTAGGGTCAGCTATTTGGATAAAAAGGAAGTCGTCTACAAGATCCCGTGTGAGGCCTGTGATGCAGTTTATTGTGGTCAAACAGGAAAATCCGCCTCTACGCGAATTCGCGAACACCAGCTGGCAGTAAAGAGGCGAGACCATCTGTCTCAAGTAGCCATGCATACCCTGGAAACCGGGCATGCCTTCGCTTGGGACAGAACTCGGATTGTCGGTGTCTGCCCTTTCAAAAAAAGCCGAGAGTTCCTCGAGGCCATGCACTCGGAGGAATCATGTATCAACCGGCACATTGAGTTGGACTCCGCGTACAAATGTCTGAAGGAGGAATGGAAGAGACGAGAGCCAATCAGAACGAAATGACGCAGATAGCGGCCGCTCACTGGCGCACGCGCCGAACAGTTATCGATTTTCAAGTGCACTGCGAGATGTTAAATGTTTTCGACACATTTGCTCTCTGTCTGCGTCTGACGACGACCTGGGAACACCCTTGACTGCAACTTATATTTCTTGGGATGCCTACCTTCCAGTACATATATATATATATGTATCAGAAGAAAAGGCGATCTCGGGAACCATAGTTTTACTGTCCTGACGTTTCAAAAGCATACAAGCTTCCATCGTCGGAGGTGAGTGTGGTATCGCGCCTCACAGTATTTATAGGTGGGTGAAAGT